GGTTCTTCTAGTCAGATAGATTGAAATAAAGACAAACATTAAAAGTAATGTACCATTCTTAATTACTAGTAAGAGTCTAAATAAAGAATTATTATCAAGACAGTAATAACCAATGATTTCTTCAGTAAGGAAATTGTGTTGCTCAAATACCTAAATGGTGATTTTTTTTTCCTTTATTCTTTTAGTTTTGGGGGAATTTTTTCTTCTTCTTTTTTTCTTTTTTCTTTTTAGATGTTTGCCAGAGGGCACATGTGTTCACTGGAGAGAAACAGAGGGAGACAGAAAGTGAGAACTCTCTCCCCTCCCCAAGAGAGGATGACTACAATGCATTCCCTGTTCCTCCATTCTTCTCTTGGGGTTTTGAGCACATAGACACATGCACCTGGCATGGTTTTCAAGTCACTGGATCTGGGACTCTGAATCTACCATGTAGAATCCAGCTCCTTAACTACCAGGTCACCTGCTGGCCCCAGTTTTAGGGGGAAATTTTCTGAGGACTACAGTGTCACTCTTTGCTTGATAAATTATATTAGGTCATTGGGAAAGTCATGACATATTTTTCCATGTTTTTCTATGCAAAAATGCATCCTGACTTTTCTGACAGCCCAAAATTTATTATAAGTACATATTTTATATATACATACACACTACACACACAAACACACACACTTCAGGTTGCTGTGCTGAGAATGGTTTGGAAAAAGGCAAAAGCAGGAATAGAAGCCTCTGCTAGAAGGCCATAGGATTAAGATTTATTGAGCCAAGGTGATGATGATCATGATAGAAGTAGAGAAAGTACATAGATTTGAGAAAAAGAAAGATAGGCAAACTTCTTTAACTTTTTTTGTATCCCTCTGTAGCATATTTCTCAAATTCAATCTATTTAGCAGCCTGGTACTATGGTTCTCTGTCTGTGAAATTGTTCTTTGACATAAAAAAGGCTATGACTCATTTAAATAAAGCCTATTTAAATGGAACTTCTGAAGATTTTTCCAAGCGCTAGAAAAATACAAAGAGAAAAATAAAAATAATTCAAGAAAAAAAAGAAAAAGGCATGTCACTCACTGAACCCATGGATGTTCTTTTTTTAAAAGACATGCTTCATTTCTCTGGGCCTGTGCAATTTTCCTCTGTGCCAATGAGACTGTATCAGGGTTCACGAGCCATCTCTGGTGGAGAATAACGATTATACAGAATTGTTCAACGCTGCCTCCAAAACAATACTGACTTCATATTGATTTATATTTAAAGTTGATAGAACCTGAGCAGTACCAGCTAAATAGAAGCATTGTGACATGTGATTGTTTATTCTATGAGTCATGTGTATGTGTGTGTGTGTGCGTGTGTGTGTGTATCTGTGCACTTTGGAAGCTCATTTGTTTTTCTTTTAATGGAACTCATTTTATTTATAAAAATTTTATTTCAAATCACCTAAGTTCCCTCAATATTTAGCTCTGTCTACTTTCTACTTTCACTAGAAAGACCTCGAGTCAAAGAAAATCGCTCTATAGAATTTTACTACATTATCCAATCAAAAGTGGGTACTTCTGAGGTTGGGATATTGTTTATTACTGGCTCACATGCTGAGAGATCAACACAAATGTGACAGATTTGATAGAAACTGTGAAGCAGACAAAATCCTGTCAACAGGTTGGTGAACTTGCAGGGAGACTTGAGTGTCATTGTCATTTGTAGCAAGTGTTTGTTGTTGACTTGTTGAAATTATGAGCAGTAGAAAAATAGGTGGCTAGGACAAGGAAGCACCAAATGGAAACTTTCTAATTTTTTACTAAAATCACTAGTCCTGTTTTGACACCTCTCAAACACAAATATATCAGTATCACGACTAGTGGAGAAAGCTATCAAGCTTCATGAAGTGTAGAGCTCTTAATATTTACCACTTTAATCTTACCGTGCAACTAAGTACAGTCATACTTTGAAGGTACTGCAGGTTCAGTTCAAGACTACCACTATAAGTCAAATATCACAATAAAGCAAGTCACACTTAGTTTTTGGCTTCCCAGTACATATAGAAGTTATATTTACACAGTACTATCACCTATAAATGTGAATTATATCTAAAAAAAATGACATTATGCCTTAACAAAAGTACATAACAATTTAAAACTGCTTTATTGTTCCCCCAAAAAATGTCAGCAACCATCTGAACCTTCAGCAAGTAGTGATTTTTTGCTAGGTGGAGGTCTTGCCTTGACATTAATTTAGGCTGCTGACTGATCAGGTTGGTGGTTGCTGAATGGTGAGGTAGCTGTGGCAATTTCTTCAAATGACAAAGATGAAGTTTGCCACACTGATTGAATCTTTCTTGCACAAAAGATTTTTCTGTAGATCATGATGCTGTTTGACACCATTTTATCGACAGTAAAACTTGTTTCAAGATTGGAATCAGCCTTCCCAAATTCTGCCACGACTTTTTCAACTAAATTTATGAAAGACTTTAAATCCTATGTTATCATTTCAACAACACAACACTGATGGCATATTTACCAGAAGTAAATACTTTCAAAAAAAATTCTTTCTGTTTATTTTTAAAGTATATTTATTTATATTCTCCATGAATGAGAGAGACAGAGATAGAGACAGGGAGACAGAACCCCCCTCTTTAGCCAGCCATCAATCATGGGCAAGCATGTGTTCACCATAATCAGAGAGGACTCAAGCCTGGAACCTTCCCACATGGGTCAGCCTTGCAGAGCACCACGTTTTACTGCTGTCTTACCATCTACCTTCTAAATCACTTTCTTTGCTCATCTATAAGAAACAACTTATTCATTAAAGTTTTATCATGGCATGGAAGTAATTCAGTTCCATCCTACTTTTAGACTTTACTTCTAGCTCTTTTTTTTTTTTTTTAACCACATCTGCAATTACTGACTCCATCAAAGTCTTGAACCCCTCAGAGTCATTTAGGAAGGGCTGGAATCAACTTTCTCCAAAATCTCATTAATGCTGCTATTTTCACCTCCTTCCATGAATTATGAATGTTCTTAATGGGATAAAAATGGTGCATCATTTCCAGAAAATATTCAGTTTGCTTCACTCAGATCCACTAGAGGAGTCACTATCCATGGTGTTTTCAACCTTATGAAATGTATGTCTTCAACAATAAGACAGGAAAGTAAAAATTGCTTCTAGATCCATAGGTGGAAGAATGGGAACTGTGTGAGTCAGCCTGAAATCAACATTAATCTCCTTGTACATCTCCCTCAGAGTTCTTGGGTGACCAAGAGCATTGTCAACAAGCAGTGAAATTTTGAAGGGAATATTTTATTTTCTGACAATAGATTTTAGCATGAGGTTTTAAATATTCAGCAAATCATGTTGCATACAGATGTGTCACGATCCAGGTTTTGGTGTTCCATTTAAGAGGTACAGGCAGAGTAGATTTAGCATAATTCTTAAGGGCTGTAGGATTTTTGAAATGGTAAATGTGCTTTGGCTTCAATTTAAGGTCATCAGCTACATTCACCCCTAACAAGAGAATCATCTGTCCTCTGAAGCTTTGAAGCAGATATTGACTTCTCATTTCTAGCTATGAAAATCCTAGATGGCATCTTATTTCAAAAGCTCTGCAAGGCTGACCCATGTGGGAAGGTTCCAGGTTTGAGTCCTCTCTGATTATGGTGAACGCATGCTTGCCCATGATTGATGGCTGTCTAAAGAGGGGGGTTCTGTCTCCCTGTCTCTATCTCTGTCTCTCTCATTCATGGAGAATATAAATAAATATACTTTAAAAATAAACAGAAAGAATTTTTTTTGAAAGTATTTACTTCTGGTAAATATGCCATTTTAAAAATCTATTGTTTTGTTGGCCTCCTTCATCAATGGTCTTTATATCTTCTGCAGCTTCTACACAAGCACTTGTTGCTTCACCTTGAACCTTTATATTATAGAGAAATCTTCTTTCCTTAAACCTAATGAACCAACCTCTCCTACTTTCAAACTTTTATTCTGTAGCTTCCTCACTTCTCTCAGCCTTTGTAGAATTGAAGAGAATTAAGACCTTGCTTTGGGTAAGGATTTGGCTTAAGAGAATATTGGAGCTGGTTTGATCTTCAATACAGAGCATTCAAATATTATCCATATCAGTAACAAAGCTGTTTTGCTTTCTTATTATTCATGTCTTCTCTGGAATAGCATTTTTAATTACCTTTAAGAACTTTCTGTTTGCATTTACAGTTTGGCTAATTATTTGTCTCAAGAGGACTAAGGTTTTAGACTATCTTGAAGACCAAAATATCTTGGTCTTCAATGTGATTTTCTCACTAAACTTAATAAGGTCTAGCTTTTCATTTCAGGTGAAAGATATGAAACTCTTCATTTCACTTGAACACTTAGAGGCCATTGTAGAGGTACTAGTTGTCCTAATGCCAGTGTTGTTGTGTCTCAGAGGATAGGGAGGACTGAAGAGAGGCAGAGATGGAAGAATGGTGGTTGATGAAGCAGTCAGAACATACACATATATTGATTAAGTTTGCAGTTTTATATGAGCACATTCATAGCATCCCAAAGCAATTGCAATAGTAACTTCAAAGACCACTGATCACAAATCACCATAATAGGTACAAATAATCTTCAGACAGCTCATGGAAAATATGTATTATGAAAAGCCTATGCATTGATTTCAATTTTTTTCCTCCAAATAAACTCATTTTTAATTCCATTTTTCCATGAATTTATTGAGGTTTTCTCACATAGTAATAATGAAAAAGCTTTAAATAGTTCAAAAAATACCAAAATGTGACACAGAAACACACAGTGAGCACATACCATTGGAAAACTGGCACCAACAGATTTGGACATAGGGTTGCTGCAGACCTTCAATTTGTGGAAAATGCACTGTCTGCCAAGTACAATAAAGCAAAGCACCATAACACAAGGCATGCCTGTAATGATAGCTTTAAACGAATTTGAAAACCCTTGAGTGAGACTAGAATAAAGGTACATGCTCAGTCTAAGTAATGTTTGCTTGGTTTTAGGAGCATGGCATTCCTACCGACATGGGCTATGCAGTTGCCCCTCACCATTCAGGTGTCTACCCTGTGCATGTTCAGCTCTACGAAGCCTGGAAGAAGGTTTGGAATATTAAAATCACGAGCACAGAAGAATATCCACATCTGAAACCGGCTAGATACCGGAGGGGCTTCATCCACAAAAACATCATGGTAAGCTTTGTCTGGTGTATGTAGGGTACTAGTAGTTCTGCCAGATTTACATTTCTCATTTGAAGAAGAAAAAAACAAATGAGAAGAGGGAATGTTAAAAGTAGAACTGTAGGGGGAAAAATCCATGCTACAGGAAGCATATCTGTCAAATCTAAGCAAAGGAGGTTTTCATTTAAATTTCTTCTTTTCAATTCTTCAAAAATAACTTTAAAATGTTTTCTTTTACCAATACACCGGTGGTAAGCAGTCACTGATGTTAAAGTACTAAGAAAATATTACATCTAACTTAACAGATAATGTTTAGAAGCCATCGTGTCTTCAAAAAATTTATTTAGCACATGAAACTAATACAAACTGCCTTTATACTAGCCATATTGCCCTTTTACAAGACAGTCGAACTATGCCAAGCTAAAAAAAATTCAGCTACTTGCAGCAAGAAGCCACATGTGAAGTCATGCATAATCATTAACACATGGTTACACATAGACTACAAATAACAGATGATATTAATTAAATCATTTATATTCATTGCCTAATTCTCTCCAGAGCTTCTCTGTTTTGTTTGCTTTGTTTTGTTTTACATACTGGTGGCAAATGTATATTATCAAAATACATTATTATTCCATACTTTATGAGACATCTCAAAGTAATTAAATCCTAATTGTCTTTGTCCAAATGGCTGCTGCTATCACAGTATACCACATATTGGATAATTTATGAAAAATGGGAATTTAGTTAGCTCATGGTTCTGGAGGCTAAGTAGTCCAGGATCAAGGGGCTACACCTGGGAGGGTCTTCTTGCTGTGTCATCCCATGGCAGTAGTGCAAAGGCAGGAGAGCATGCTAGAGCAAGTGCAGGAGGGGACCAATTTGGCTTTTATAAAAAGCCCACTCATACAAAAAGCCAACCAACTCCCACAATAACAAAAATAACCCATTCATGAGGGCATTGACCTAATCACCTCTTATTAGACCCCATCTCTCCACTGTTGCATTGAGGACTATGTTTGCAACACATGAACTCAGGGAACACAGACTTAGCATTAATCTTTTTCCAAATCATAAAATTCAAGTAAAGTGCTGATAAAGCTAGAAATGAGCCTCCTAAATTTAGGTTTGTACACTAGGAAGGAACATCATGAAGAAGAACACTATGCAAGGAGCTGCCATAGCTCTCTGTCAAACTGATATGTTTGAACAGATGTCTGCCCTCAAGAATTAGGTGTGACTGACTTTTTTCAGACACTTTTCCAATGTCTGCAAAAATTAGAGAGTGGATAATGACATTTAACTTGGACCAATCCCCTCTTGACTTTTCCCTCAATAAAAAGATGTTGTAAAGGCTAAATGGGGACATAACTGCCACATTTTATCCCGTCCTGCCCTTCCTCTGTTCTGAAAATGAACTTATACTGTGCCTCAAGCTGCCAACCTTCTGCCCAGAGAGAGTCTAGAAGTCCTGGGTTGTGTTAATAATTTAAAAATATTCAATGGTCTACTGTCATTTTAAAATCATGTAGTCTTAGTTGAATAGCAAACTTAAGTCTCTAAAGACTTTAGTCAGTGTTCTCTTTTGTTTTTGTTTCTCTCTGTACTGCCAAAGAGCCTGCTTGGATATGTCCCATGAGATGTGTTCATTTTTCAGTTCTCCTGAAAATACATTTTACCTGTATTATAAATGCATGACTCTTGCAAGTAATAAAGGTTCTAATAGATTTCTTGTTTTGATAGAACTGTCCCTGTGGTTCCATTTTTGCAGCAATCCATGGAAACTCTATATTTGGTTTGTGGGCTCTTGGATGAGAATTTGCAGTTGGGAAATGTTCGGCAGGCAGTTGATTATGCAGTGAGAGAGAAGACAGGGCTAGAAGCCATCCAAATAGAAGTGCGAGTAAAGATCTCAAGAGCTAATATGTCTTCCTTAAAAGAGATGGCAAAGAGTAGGGAACTGAGGAATGAGCTTTAGGTCACACCCATGTTTTGTTGTGTGACATGAGATACTTTTGTTGAATGATCCATTGACAAATCAAATCAGACCTTATTATCTTCCCATCAAACCAGCTGTTGATTATGCAATCCCTAATCCATTCTATTATTCAGACATCACAATAACCCCCCCCCTCTTCCAATCAGTCTCCATATTACAACAATAATCTCATTACTGGGCTGACCCCATAGTCTAATGGTTGAGGAAACCAGATCCCACATGGCCGAACACATGGGTTAAATATTAGCCCTGGCAGCTCATATGTTCATGTGCCCAAAATTCTGGCAGGATATAGAAATGGAAGAAAAAGGATTGCAGCATGACCACACCCCAATGGGAGTGTTTTCTCCCTCTAATTTCCTTTCCCTTTATCTCTCTGTCAAACACACATGCCTTCTGGTAATTAAAATGACTAATTAATATTTTTTAAATTTCCTTTCCCACAGCCACCATCTTAACTCCTTGCCTTGACACTCATCTTCTAACTGTGGTATTGGTTCCTACCTTGTCTATTTCCAGCTACCATTACCATCCCTCCCCACTGTAGTCTATCCCATGGACAGTGCCAATCTTTTAATCTTTCTAAAATGGTGCCTTCATCCTGGTCTTACCAACATTGATTAGTTCTACAACCTGGACCAACTGTACCTTTCTACTTTTTACTTCCCATAGACTCATTCCAACTAAAAGGTGCCTACAACAGTATTGTGTTTTTCATGCTTTTGTCATACTTTCCACTTCGACTGACTTTCTGCACATATCTATTCCCTTTATTCTTCAATATCAAACTTCATGGCTCATACAATTGAATGTAAATCACCTTGATATATAGCAGCTCAATACCTAATTCAAGCCTTACTGGTCTTACTCTCTTCTGTATTCTTATAACACGCCATCTTGTAATGCCACCAGGAACAAAAAGGCCAACGAGAATAAAGATGTATGAGTCATAACCAGAACCTCTGGACCTCCAGTCATATTGCATTTTCAATGAGGCACTTTTTATCTTTATTTGGAAAACCAGGACTCTTTACTTAAACTCCTGGTTGTAAAAGTGAAACCTTGAAGCAAATAGATTGCACATCCTGACTACCTACTTACAATGTCTAATGGAGACACACACTGGTAGAGATTCCCATTAATCATGCTGACAGCACCCTAGGTGGTCTTCACCAGTAACTCCGAGAGGCATTTGTTGGAAGCTGCTCCTGGTTGAGATCTTAAGTATAGAATATTGGCAGTTGCTGTTAGTTGAGGTCTTAAGTACAAAATAATGGCTTTAGGTCCCACTGGCCAAGATTTGTCTTAACTGTGGCTTTCATAAATACCTCCCAGTTATTTTTAGCAACGATAAGGTATTCAGGAGTTCATCAGTGTCCCAAAGTTGGAATTTGATAGTGTTACAACTGTGTCTAGAGGGCAGTCCACAGGAGAATGCCTAAAGGGTCTCTTACTCCTCTCTAGCATGAGAGAGTTGTTTCAAGAAATAAGTTCAGTCCCTCGTAGCGTTGCATTCGAAGAGCAAAAGAATGAATATGACCCTGATCACACTCCTGGTTGTCTCAGCCTCCTGCAGTGGTTCACTGACTCTCCTAGGGTTCACAGCTACACTTACGCTCTTAACAGGAGTGTTCTTCTAGAAACCAGGGTACAGAGTCGGACACTGCCTCTATGGTGTGATAAACTCAAATAATTTGAGAAGTAGATAAAACTTGAATTTCTTTTCACTTCCAGCCCCATTTTTCATAGAGTCACCTCAGCAGTCAAGTCCAAGGACAACTCAGTATGTGTTCCATAACTTTGCAAGTGAGATATTCAAACTGAATCATAAAAGTGATTCAGTCAGAATCACACTCTTAAAATGTAACACAAAGCTAGCATTAATCACAGGATGGCATTTTACTATTTAGCTTTGGAGTAGTACACCTTCCCTGGCTGTATCTTAAAACCTTCAAGAGTAGAAAATGTGCATCTTTGTGTTCTGCCACATGGACTAGCATGGAACTAGCATATGGAACCGACATGAAAGCGTGGAACTCACTCTATGCTCATCCATAGTAGTGCCACTAACTTAGAGTTAGTTCCAACGCTAGGGGAATAAGTATTTGTTAAATAAATGAATAACTAAGAAGGACTTTCAAAAGTTAATAAGAGTGAGAAAACTGAAAGTACAAGTTTACTTTGATGCAAAAAAGGTTGAATTCATGCATACTTTTCTCATAATATATTTATTTTTTATGAACTTTTTGAGGACCTATCATAAAGTTTTACTAACCAGGAAAATGGCATTTCTAAGAATAGTTGGAAATATGCTTAATCAATAATTCAATTAGAATGGATGCCTTGCATTTAATTCTTTGTTATGAATTTCATACTTAATATTACGGGAATGCATACTTTTAAAATAGATATTACCACAACTAATACTCTGTGTTTTCAACTAAAGTTCATTTAACTATCTCTTCAACATACAATAGCCTATGTATGATGTTTGCCAATTTACAAAAATAAGGATGTGATTTTTACCAATTTACCAAAATAAGGAAGATATTTAGAATTTTGACTTTTATAGTGATATAAAATGTATTGATTGAGCTGAGGATTATATTTTAATAAAACTTTCCATGAATTAGATTAAAATTCATTACAATACATAATCAAACTAAAGAAAAAAGAACTAACATATTCATATAGGGTTGCAAAACACGGAAAATCCTAGAGAGATAATATTTTGAAAGCCTTTATTGAACCAAAATGTGCTTTTTTAAAAAATTATTTTATCTGGGAACCAGCAGTTAGTGTAATGGCTATGTCGCTGGACTCCCATGTAGTTGACCACAGTTCATGTCCCGGACCCAGTGACTTAAAACTCACACCGGGCGTGTGTGTGTGCGTGCCCAAGATCCTGAGAGGAGAATGGAGGAGAAGGGATTGCAGTGTGACCATCACCCCTGGAGGGGTGATTTCTCGTTTTCTGTCTCTCTGTCTCTCTCTGTCTGTCTGGCGAGCGCATGCGCCCTATAGCGAAAACTTCTCAAAAAAAAAATTTTTTTTTAAGTTATTTTATCTAACTTTATTTATTCTTATTTATTTATTTTTATTTGACCAGAGTGGGGGAGGAGGGGGGTGAAGAGAGAGAGAAAAAGTGAGAATGCAAGCAGCCAGGTCCAGGATTCCAACCGTGGCCAGTGCCCGTTAACCACCACACCACCTGCTGGCCTCCCAAATGTGCTTTAAGAGTTGAGACAAAAAATGGAGATCAATTTACTTTGAACAATAAGCTGAGGACCTGCCCATATGTGATTCTGTAAAATGTGTAGCTTTCCAAAGCATATTCTCTAATTTTCTGCTACTTCAAGTGTATAGTGCCAGGCACAAGTTATCATGAAGTCCTTACATAAGAGTTAGCTGTAGACTGTGCCATTTGTACATTCTAGTTCACACTGCCTTTTATAATTGTATTGATGTTATACCAGGAAAGCTGTCAAAAAAAATTTTTTAAGTCCCTATCACAAAAGTGTATAATTGAAGCAAATAGGATGAAAAGAAGACCTTTTACTGAGTGACTTCTTATCATTTTGTTTGTGACACTGTCTAAAAATTACTAACCAAATGAATAACCCTCTTCTAACTTTTGGAACCGACAGGCATCACACTTAGAAAGTGTGTCAATTACTGTAGCCTGCAGTAGTCCTTTCAGACTAGAGCAGATACTGTGAATTGCGTTTCAAATATTTGTTCTAATTTGAAATGTCATTTCCTAAGAAGAACATTAAGTTGGTAATTGAATTCATTTCTAATGCAGGTGAGAAGTGTTATACTTAACATTTTTGCCTACTAGAATTATAATTTGGTACAGGCAATTCCAATTTTTTAAAGTCTTGTTTTTGCTTTTTTTATTATTATTATTTCTTAAGATGCTGGACTATACTAGTTTCCTAACAGAACTACTGATTTTGAGAGTTAAAGTAAATAACCAGCTAAAATCATGCAAAGCCTATTTTAGTTTTAAGACATTACAGCTTTCCTCACTATTCCTTCTGTTCCAATATCATCCTGTCTTTCCAGAGCATGAAGGTTTTCCAGTCCCTAGTTAGGGCTGAATAATGGCCCCAGCTTGTGTATCACCTCCCAGGAGAAAAATGTTTAAGTTTCAACAATTAATTGATTGAAAAGAACTTTTTCCTAACTTGTTCATTTTTCCTTCAGGTCCTCCCAAGACAAACATGTGGGCTTTTCACCCACACAATTTTCTACAAAGAATATCCAGGAGGCCCTAAAGAACTAGACAAGAGTATCCAAGGAGGTGAACTTTTCTTCACAGTGGTCCTCAACCCAGTAAGTACTTTTAGTTATTCTCCAGAAAAGCAATGAACATGACAGCATGGATGAAAATGTACCCTGACGAAGAGACTAGGACTGAGTACTTATTAGCCAGAATCAATACGCAGTTCTAGCTCTAAGGCAGTAGTAAAATCTCAGTGGAACCACACCTAGACACAGGGACAAACAAAACTGTAAGTCACAGTTACATGAGGAACTTACAGCAGGATCAGGGAAGTGCCCCAGCAGATCCTTCTGTGTACTGGAGAGTGGGCAGAATTCAGAGATTCTTGCTCTTATGGAGAACAAACTCAACCACTAAAACACTTCTGTATTGACTGAGGATCATTTTTTTCATTAGAGTGACTATTAACACTACTATTCTTTTTCACCCCCTATTCAAAGCAGATGTATAAAAAAAATGGCAGAGGGGGGACCAGCAGTTGACGTAATGACTATGTCACTGGACTCCCACGTAGTTGACCGCGGTTCGCGTCCCAGATCTGGTGGCTTAAAACTCACGCCGGGCGCGTGTGTGTGCGTGCCCAAGATCCTGGAAGGAGAATGGAGGAGAAGGGATTACAATGTAGCCATCCCCCCTGGGGGGCGTGATTTCTCGCTTTCTGTCTCTCTGTCTCTCTCTGTCTGGCAAGCACACGTGCCCTATAGCAAAAACCTCACCAAAACAAATGAAAAATAAAAAAAAGAAAAAGAAAATGGCTGAGGAAATAGCAAATATGCTTTTATGTCTTACATTCACATTAGACCTTATCCTGCTAGGGAAAGGCTGAGGAGGAGAACCCTGTGCAAGGAGCTGCTGCTCTTCCTGCTTTACTTAACAATTGTATGCTGATTCTACAATGACCCATTTGCACATATTTCCCCTGGAGGCAAGCATTATGAAATTGTGCAGCAAAGGGAGCACTAATTGAATAAGTTGGGTACAAAAAAGATGGGATTTTAATTTCCTTCTGAAAAATTCCTCCCATAAAAATAGAAAAGCTAAGTTTACTTATCTGATGTATGAGTTTACCCCTGGTATTAGCAATATCCAGGATGAAGGAATGTAATTATATTCAAATGTGAAAAAATAAAATTTTTCAGTAGAAAAGTTGAATAAGATAGGAATCCATGGGACCAGTAGGTGGCATAGTAGTTAAGGTGCTGGACTCCCATATGACCAACTGTGGCTTGAGTCCCAAACCTAATGACTTGAAACTCACAGCGGATGCATGTGTGTGTGGCCCAAAATCCTGAGAAGAGACTGGAGGAGAAAGGACTGCAGCATGGTCATTCCCCAGGGAGTGATTTCTAACTTTCTCTTTTCAGTGAATGCTACTGCTGTATAGCAAAAATCTCTCTCTCTCTTAAAAAATAAATAAATAATGAAAAGATAGAAATCCATAAAATAAATTTTGAAAGACCTCTTTTTTTACCTTATTTTACAGGTCCTGCAAATAAAATCACAGGTATTTTTCATCATCTACTTGTATTTGATAACTGTTTATTTTTTAGCCCTAGAAAATAGAAGCGTAGTTTGACTTTAGACAAAATTTGCATATGTATTCCAAAATTGACTACATATGTAAATTAGTCATTTGGCATTTGGCCTCTTCAAAGTTTATCAACCTTCATACCCCCAAAATGTAAATAATTCTGATTAATATATCAGAAATAATCTGATTCAACTAATTTATCCTTTTCTTTTTTTTTTTTAAGGGAGATTTTTGCTATGGGGTACATGCACTCACTGGAGAGACAGAGAGACAGAAAGTGAGAAGTCACTCCCACAAGAGGATGGCCATGCTGCAATTTTTCACACCCATTCTTCTCTCGGGATTTTGGGCATGCACACACATGTGCCCGGTATGACCTTTGGGCTGCTAGATCTGGGACTCGAACCATAGTCACCATATGGGAATCCAGCGATGTAACCATTATGTCTTCTGCTGGTCCTATAACTTATCTACTTTTTATAAATGGGAAAGTATCCTGAGTCACCTTATAGTCCTTTCTTTTTTTTTCCTTTTTTTTTTTTTTTTTTTTTTGAGAGGTTTTTGCTATAGGGTGCATGTGCTCACCGGACAGACAGAGAGAAATAGAGAGATAGAAAGCGAGAAATCACCCCCCAGGGGGGATGGCCACACCACAATCCCCTCTCCTCCATTCTCCTCTTGGGATCTTGGGCTCGCATGCACACGTGCCCGGGTGAGTCTCAAGCCACCAGGTCCAGGACGTGAACCGTGGTCGACTACATGGGAGTCCAGCAACATAGCCATTACGCTAACTGCTGGTCCCAGTCCTTTCTTTTCTTTTTTCTCAGTTCAGTCAGTAATACACAAGCTGAATGAACTGACAACTCAAATAAAATACTCTCATAATTCTAACGTTTTCACCAATGACTTTAAGATCCTTTAATCTCTTATCAATAAAATTCTGTTTGCTTGTATTTCCCTTCTTCATAGAGCAATAGGACTACAGATAACTATTCATTCTTTTAACCAACAGTTACTTAGGTGCTTAACAAGTTCCTGGTTATATTGTTAACTTAGAACTTTCTAAAGCAAAATGTGTTTCATTTAACATGGAAGAAATTTTAAATGAAATAATTTATGTATGATGAAATTATATTAAGAATTTCACACATTGGGTGATAAGAAATATGTATTTCATTATTAAAAACCAGATTATTTTTATAATATAAAAGAAACTTAGAAGAAAGCTTGTGCTAACTTTGGACACTCATTTGGACTAACTGAGCAAACTCTTTAGCAAACCTTGCTACTTTTCAGGAATTTATCAATAATATTTTACAATTTTATTTGGCTTGTAAAGATATCCATATGCAATAAATGGGGCACAGTGACTACAGAATTGTTCTTCCCTGATTCAGAAAACTTCTGGTAGACAATTATTTCCAGATAAATACTTGGATTTAAAATAAGTGACAAATCTTGCCACAGAGCATAGGGCAGACAAGAATCTAAAAGTAACTTCACCTGGCTCACTAGCCCCAATTTTTAGAAGCAATTTTACTTACCTAGAGACATGTGGTTGAGAAGCTTACATCTAGACTCCATGTCTAGCCAAAAGGAAGATGCTGTCATTAGTGATGTCTGTCTTGCAGAATGAAGTAAAGAGTAGTGCCATGTGTCTCATGAATTTTACATTTGAAATTAAATGTTTGGATAAGGTTTGTGTTAAAATTTAGAAAAGTCCAAGTATAGTGAAATATGCTAATAATTTAGCAGATGATATTCTTTATTAGGTCAGAATAAGAATGAGAAAAAAAATGAGGGACTCAAGATATATATTAGCTGCAGGAAAGATAGAAACTTTCATTATAGTGGATTTGAAAGATAGCCCTTGTAAGCTTAAGTAATACCCTAGAACTCAATTAGAAGCACCATTTTCTGAGAATACCGAATGAAGTTATCATTTATTACAAAAAGATAGATGAATATTGGAATAAGTCACTTACATACTTCAAATACTTTTGAGTTGAAAATAAAAATAAATATATGTACATATCTTGTATTTATATAAAATAAATATATTTACATATTGTATATATATAAATATATTTTATATTTATATAAGAATGTATATATAGTATAAGCAGCATAACTTTAAATAATGAGGGTTTTGAATTTTCTTCCCCCCCAGCAACATAATGTCAAGGTACTACAAGAGCTTTTATCAGTGCTTTCGTTTGAATGCTCCCTCAAAATCCATGTATTGGGACTTGGTCGTATTATAAAGCTGGTAAATGAAAACTTAATTCTTTCATGATGTCTTTGAGTATGAGATGTTCATTAGGATGAGGCCCCTATATCTGAAATCTAGTTTGTTGATAAGAGGGGAGAGGAGACCAGAGGAGGCAGAAATTTAGGGACAGCTGTTTTGCTCAGATTCCTACCTCCACTTTGTAATGCCCTTGGACTTTCACATTGCCAGAATCATGCATGAGTCAGCGAAGCCTTTCCTCTCTTAAAGTCTAAACTCAGTTCCAATTGCTCTCTTCCTGTAAGTCTCATAAGCTGCCTAATACCTTCCTTGCTGTGTGATTATTTGTAGATACCTGTCTTCTATGGGTGGGGGCAGAGAGGGCATTCTTATTACATGGTTATCTATGAACGCTTTATCTTTGTGCTTTCATTGCATGTAAGTAAATGGTTTTAATCTAATAAGAGGCCAGTAAATACTCTTTAAATGATTAAATGCATAAAGAGTTATGTTTCAGAAGCATGACTGGCTTTATAGCATGTCCAAATGTGAATAAAAGCAAATCCAATTAAAAAAAAAAAAACTACAATCTGTCAAATTCTCTGCTTACAAAGTAAGATTTAGAAACTTTGCAATTCTAAATATTCAGCAGGTTTTCACAAGCTATGATGAATTAGGCCGACCTAGAACCATGGACTGTTAAAGATGGAGCAGACTAGAAAGGCTATCTGTCTATCTGTTCAATCTCCTAATTTTAGATGAGGAACTAGAGTCACAGTGAGATGATTGTTCAAGGTCATGTCCATAGTATTGTGATGAGAACCCCGTCTTTCCTCACTCTAGTATTTCTGCTACTATCTATACCACTTCTGTATTCCTGGGAAAATTGGCCTTACTGTGACACATATTACTTCTCAGTATGACCCAGTTCCTGGTACTAGGAAAATATGTGAATAATTAAAATTTTCAGGGCACTGGGACCAGCAGATGACATAATGGTTATGTTGCTAGACTCCCACATGGCTTACTACTCTGGTCCCAGACCCAGCGCCTTGAAACTCATACCAGGCTTGTATGCATCCATGCCCAAACTCCCAAGAGAGGAATGGAGGAGAAGGAACTGTGGCATGGCTATCCCCCCAGGGGGTGATCTGTCTCTCTCTCTCTCTTCATCTTTCTGGTGAGCACACACACCCTATAACAAAAATCTCTCTAAATAAATAAATAGATCAAATTCAGGGCATTACCTAGGAGAAAAAAACAACCCATCTATGTGTTGGGTTTAAAAT